ACATACACGTGTCGGGGGGAGGGGGGAGGGAGAGCAAGACCCTACAATGGTGATGTGTCCTTCACCTTGAAGGACAAGGTGGAGAGGGTGAACACTGACAGAAGGGTGGACGACCAGCCAGGTCCTGAGTTCCCCTTTTCTTCCTTCTTTTAAAATGATAGCAAAAAATATATAAAACTTACCATTTTACCCATTTTAAAGTGTGGCCTGGCATTAAGCACATCCATAATGTTGTACCACCATCACCATTATCTAGTTCCAGAACTTTTTCATGACCCCAAAAGGAAATCGCCTACCCATTAAGCATGGCTCCCCATTTCCTCAATCCCCAAATCTCAGCTTTCCATCCCTATAGATTGGCCTATTCTGTACATTTCATATAAATGGAATCACATAATACGTGGTCTTTTGTGTCTGGCTTCTTTCACTTAGCACAATGTTTTCAAGTTTCATCCATGTTGTAGTGTGGATCGCTACTTCCATGGCTGAACAATATTCCGCTGTGTGGATAATCCCAAATTTTGTTTATCCATTCATCTGTTGATGGCCATCTGGATTATTACCACCTTGTGGCTGTTGTGAATTGTGCTGCTATGAATATCTGCATACAAGTTATTATTTGAATGACTATTTTCAATTCTTTTGGGTATATTACCTAGGAGTAGAGTTGCTGGGTCATATGGTAGTTCGATGTTTAACTTACTGAGGAACCACTCCCCCTTCTTTTTATAGATTTTCACAGACTCAGGAGACTGGAAAGGACCTCAAAAGTGACCTAGAGCAATGTTTCTCAGACTTTTGGATTTCACACATCCACGAAACTAAAACCACCACTACCACCACCCTCTCCCTTCAAAGTAATAGGGATTTGTGTCAGGATCAAGGCCAACCCCATAAAATGAGTACATTTAGTGTCAGGTAAACTCATTGCCTTGTACTTGTTTTTCTCCTATCACCTCCACCATTGGGTCATTTGGGAACCACTTGCCTGTTCCAATCTTCATCTAAAGTCTGAGTTCCCCTCTCCAGCTGCCCTGGGCTTGACCAGCCTCTGGGGCTCATCTGGGGGATGCTCTCCCTTCTAGGTAGCCCTGGTCCCTGGAATGTTCTTCCTCATGGAGTGCTGGCTCTACTCCCATGGTCTCCCCAATATCATTGCTCCCCACAGACCTTGGCCTCATTCCACCTGTTTTGGGCCTGGGACCCATGCTAACTTCTGCTTCCTGAATGCTCTATAGGGCGGAGCACAGCCAACATGAGACACTGAGAGCAGAAGAGGTAGAGATGAGGGAGCCCCAGACTTGTAAAGACTCTCAGCAGAAACAAAGAGAATCTCCAAGCCATATATGTATAGTATTATAGTATTTCATAAACACCTCCCCACCAAAAAAAAAAAAAAATTGTGAACAAGCCATACAGACTAACAAGGTTTTATTTGTTTTGTGTTGGCTGGGCTTATCCCAATTCAACATTTCTCTCTGTGGTGAAAGGCAGCAAGACAGCATGGAGAGACTTGACAGGTGAGGCCTGCATTCAAATCGACCATTGCCTGTTACAAGGTGACCTTGGTGAGGTTAATATCTGTGTGCCACACTCACCAAATTGGTAGAAAAGGGATTTTAAGGCTGCCTCACAAGATTATCATGAAGGAGGTGAGGCAACGGAAGCGCCCAACACACCATAGGCACTTGCTCCATAACAGTTCTCACTGGAAGAAATCTGAGCAGCATTTTATACCTTCAATGAGCAAAAACAAAGTGAGAAGACAAACTCACCATTATTTAATATACATTTGGCAAACAAAAATCCTTCAAAGAATCAAATCCCTGTATGGAAAAACAATAAAATAGTAACAAAAAGAAGTGTTGGATGGTAAGGAACATGGAAACACACAGTAGAGCTGAAACAAAACAGCACCTTGGTCTCTTATCAAAGGATCCAGTGGCCCTGCTGAGGCCAAACCCTACCCCAGCCACCTGGACAGTGGGAACAAGGTCTCCCGGAAGAGGATGGCCATGCCCTGTTGTCTATGAGCCCTAGGGAGGCAGCTGCAACAGGAACTAAGACTCGGGGCTGGCTCAACCCACTGGGTATGGAGGGCCCTGAGGAGGGGCCCTGGGTGGTCCCCACCTTAGGAAGGAAGCTGAAGAGGGGACTCACCACCCACCTCCCCCAGGGAGGAGATTCAGTCCCTGGCCAGTCCTTCAGAATTTGGTATCGACTTTGTCAGGGAAAGCATGAGGTCTCCTTACATGCTGAACAGGATCTGTTGGTTAATGAGACATAATCACCTTGCCTGAACAAAGCACAGATGGTGCTTCACAACACCTTCAGTCTGGGCTGCAGAATCTTCCCAGGAAGGGTCCCAAGCCCTCAAAAGGTGCTTTCTTGGAAGGTCAGCGTAGATGTTCACAGCTGTCTAGCCCGGGCCTGGCCTGCACGGCAGTGTCCTTAGGCAGCTCTGAGGCACGAGCAAACTGGAGGGGTTTCCTGCTTCCTCTCTGCCCCCTGGATCAGCCCCTGTGATCAGGCTGGAAGGCCTCCCTTCTTTCTGTCCACCTTGCTGGGAATCCCAGTGACACAAACACCAGAGTCAGCCACAACTAGAGGGTGGGGATTCACCACCAACCCTCACTTCCTCGGGGCTCCAATACCAGCAGAGCCACCTAAGCTGCTGCCACCTCTGGCTGGAGGCTGCTGCCTCTGGCCTCGCCCACCCAGCCCTGGCTACATCAGGGCAAGCCGGAGGCGGGGTGGGGCGGGGGAGAAACAGAGTATTTCAAACAGGCAAGCATCGTGGAGATTTCTCCCATCTGCAGAGCTCCACATGGTGTGAAAAGGGCTTTCACCTTCATCTGATCCTCAGCGCCTTGGGGAGCACTACCCCCTTGTAACTGAAAGGGAAACTGAGGTTCAAGGAATGTTAGAAATATGTTACCCATTAAGAAGTGGGTGAGCCAAAACCCAGTGCTAGGACCGACTATAGATTCAGTGCTCTTCCAGCTAACAGACTGCTGCTACGCATTTCAAAGAAAAGAATCAAAAATTGGAATAACAGGTATCTAACTTACCCCCCGATAATATTTAACCCAGAAATGTTATATGCCGCCTGCCTTCTCACACACTGTCCCCCCATCTGGGGAGCCCTTTCTCTTCCCCACCTGCCAGCTGTGCTGACTTACCCTTTCAGACCCAGTCTTTCCAATGCGGCCCATCCAGGCTGAACCTGAGCCATCACCCACGACATCCTCAGAGCCGTGGGCCCAGCACACGCCTTTACTGTAAGAATCCTTATGGGCACTACAACGTCTGACTTACATGCTTGTCTCCTCTAAGATACCGTGGATTCTTTGAGGGCAGAGATGAGTGTTTTTCATCTCTGGATCCAAAGCACAAGCACAGGGTGGGCACAGGGTAAATGCTCAGTAAATATGTAGTGAATGAAAAAGTAAATGTTTTCCTGGCAAAATTTGCCACCTCCATGTAATGGTCTGGCACTGAAGCAAGGAGGTGGGAACCTTCTCCTGGCCATTGGGGGACAGGGCTTAGACACCCAGCAGTCGCCAGGCAGGACACTGCACCAACACTGGGAAATGATGTCCCTGACCCTGCAGGAGACGCCCTGGATGCAGAGCCCTATGAGCAGGATCCTGGTTCTCTCAGTCAGGGGACTCCCTCACTGTGATGTCCCACTGCCAAGCAGAGAGCTGCTGGAAAGAAAAGAAGCAATTACCAAAGACCCCTGATCCAGCTGAAGGCCTTGAGGGCCCCTTGGGCCCACTCCCAGGTGTTGTGAGGCCTCATGACTGCCACTGCCTAGTCAAAGCAGGGCTTCCCTAATGGTGTCCAATGAACCTTAGTCTTGCAAGAGTGCCATGAAACCGCATTCTGTGATCAAACATATGGGAAATGCTACAAGCTACACGGCCCCCTTGAAGAGACATGCCCCCATGTGTGGCGTGATAAGGATTCTGAGGTGTCTTGCAGCAAGCATCATGTAACTGGGCTTTAACCCAGTGTCTGCCAAACCTATTGATCACAGAGCCTCACCCCATTGTCATGCATACATTTCCTCCCCCTTTTTTTTTCCTTTATGAAAAACCTACTAACATCCTGTGGAACTAGGGTTCCAAGGAACACACTTTGGGAAATGCTGATGGTCATCAAGCAAGGAAGACACTGTGGACCAGAACAGCCTCCTGGAGTATCACCAGGAAGGGGGTGATCATGGTCCAGAAAGGGCGCCGGGGATCTCTCACCAACCAGCACACAAACTGCCTGGGAGAAAAAACCTTAGAACCACTGAATCCAGTGAAAAAGACAAAAAAGGCATCTGTCCGAGCCTGTTTTCCCATCTGCAAAATGAGAATAATAAGCCCTGCTCTGTCTGGGGTCATTAGATGAGATCGTGGAGGTGTGCATTTGTGGAATGCTGACCCCCAGCACAGCTCCTGTGTATCACAGGTATTCAATCATAGGGATTCAATCAAACTTACCTAAGTGAAAGCTGCACAAATATAGGGGTGATGAAAAGACCCAGAGGACAGCAAAGAGTGGGCACAAAACCTCACAGCACCTAACTCAGGGGCCCATGTGTATTTCAGGGGCAAACAACCCTAGGCCTATCGATAGCCTCTGAAGATATGAGTACATTAAAACAGCGAGAATCCCTGGTGCCTCTAGCCCCAGGAGTCTATAGGAATTGGTGGCAAAAGCATGGGCTCAGAGCTCACTAGATCTGGTTCTCAGCCAGCTCTACTCCTTCCAGGCTGGGGAACTGGCATGCAGCTCCAGTCCTCTGTGTCTGTTTCCTCAGCGTGCAGGATGAGGTTAAACCATGCCAGCCTCCAGGCTTCTGGTGAGGACAGATGACACCGGATTCCCGCTGCTGCACACAGAAGTTGCTCAATGACTGTGTCTCCTTAAAGAAGGCTGGGATGCGAGGAACATTTATAAAGGTGTCTGTCAGTGATGGCTAAAACAAAACCTCTTCTCTCCAGTCATGTGGGAAGCTGGCTTTTATGGGTGGGAAGATGGAAGGATGAAGGAGGAACAGCATCCGCTGGATCAACGGACAGAGGGAGAACACGATAAGGCTCCAGGCAACATGGTCAGGACTCCCTCTAGAAGCCAGCAGAGGGTGAATGGCCACTCATGGCTGGGGGAGGGAGAGATGAGAGGCCACATCTCCCAAGGAGACCAGCATACGGCCAGGTAGAGCTCATGGTAAAGATGAGAACTCTGCAAAGGCTGCTATCCACTGCGCATGTCCCACAGACCAAGTGCTTGACGCACGCTGGCTCTAAGTGCCAACTTACCCGTCCCTGGCCACACATCTGGCTAGCTGCAGGGTTGAACCAGAACCCTGAGCCTGAGTCCAGAGCACATGCTCTCTCCACTCTTCCGTGCTGCCCCTTGAGGCTGGGACCACCATTCCTTTCTTCTCTTGCTGTCCAGGTCCTCAAGGGTGGGGACTGGCTCTGACTCATCTCTGCACCCCCAGCACCCAGCGGTGCTGGTCGAATGAATTATGCACTTGAAGACATTTCAGAAACCTACTAGACTCAAAAGTCAGAGTCCTTTTCATAGAATATGACACTGTAGAAAACTACACAGGCTGATTCCCTTCTGAGGAATGTAGCCTTAGAAGAAATTCTAAATTCTTCACTTCTTTGCCTAGAAAATGTGAGTACCCAAGTCCTTCTACAATGTAATATATTAGGGTCTTCTGCTCCCACTCAAAGTGGAAAAGCCCTACTGTGATGTGGGGTGAGCAGCGTGGAATATCAGAGCATTGTCTTGCCTGACGACAGACAAGGAAACTGAAGGCCAGGAAGGAAAAGGGATCCCTCAAGATCACACCTTGGGCCTCGCAATTTTTCCTACATAAAAGGCTGCCTTTGCAAGAAAGAAGTATGCATTCAACATATACATCCTGACCAGCTGTTGTACGCTGTCTGCAGCAGATGCAGTGAAGTGCTAGAGCAGAGTTATCACACGGAACAGTAAGAGCCCCAGAGGCTGGAGGAGTTAGTTCTGTGTAAGGGAGTTGAGAAAGGCTTCATTTGATAGGTGACTTGGACCATTAGGGCGAAGTTCGAAGTTCTAAGGGAAGATGTGGAAGAGTGGCTAACCTTCTGCCAAAATATGTGCTCCCCCATCTAAGTACAGAGCTGTTGCCGTGAAGCCACTACCTGAACAACGACTACACGTGGGGCCACATGACTATGAGTGGCTGATGGAACGTGAGCAGTTAAGAGCAAAGCAGTAAAGAAATGGCTGTGCCTTTTTCACCATCCCCTTCCCCTCTGCCAGCCAGAAACAAAGGCTCTGAGGCCCCAGGGATGGCAGAGCCACAGAGGAAAGGAGCTGGGTCCCTGAATCACCGTGTGCTTCTGCCGAGTGGATGCAGCCATACTGGATTGTATGGGAGAGTAAGTCTCTACAGTGTTGGAGTTTGTTATAGCAACAAGCATCACCAACTACTACAGAAGGGAAGGGAAGACAGGTGTTCCAGGCAGAAGGACTAAGGCACAGCGGTGTGACAAAAACATAGTGTGTTTCAGGGAATGGGGAAGGTCTGATGGTGGCTGGAGCACCGGCCATGTGAAGGGGGTACTGAGATTCAGAAAGCTCACGCTGGTCACCACAGGATGGAAGGTCACGTACAGGGGTTGTTTCCAGGGGCCCTGGTGTTGCTGGCGCTGCTCTCGAAGGAAGAGTGGAAGTTGTGAATGGTTTCCTGTAAAATTTGTCTCTCGCGTCCCTGTGGAGGAAATTGAAAACAGACACAGAAAGTCTTGTTAAATCTTTTAACCATTAATTCAATTGACACAGTGCTGTTAACGTTTAACTCATACTTGAAAAACCCATGGGCGTCTTGAGGAAAACAAATTACCTAATTTAAAGAGTACTGAGTTTAATAAAAACATCCTGAGTCAGAATCTCCTCCAGCACCCACAAACACAGCATGCCAGGGCTGGAGAGGCCCCCAAGATGCAGGGGTCCAATTTCCCAGATGAGGAAGGGCAGCAGAACCCAGGGAGCAAGAATGACTTGCCCTGGGTCACTCGGCCCGGAAGGGACGTCTCCTACCCTGCCCTGTGCATCTTTCCAGCCCTCATATCTCCAGGGACTCCAGAGGGAGCCGAACTTTCTGATACAGAGTGAGAGTTTGAACCGCCTTTACTCCCCCTTGTCCAAAAGATGACAGATTCGTCTTCACAGTGATTCACTTCTCACCCCATCCTTGCATACCCCCCCCTCCTAGTTGCTGCCCTTTACACACATATTTTGAGATGGGAAAAGAGGGGGGATGTGGATGTTTTTTTAAGCCCAAAGAACATCTTCACTGAATATGTAGGCGAGAGGCAGTGATATATAGAGGTGAAGAACAGAGGCTGGAATCACACAGCCTGGGTTCAAATCCCAACCTTCCCATTTACTAGCTGGGTGACCTTGAGCAAGATACTTCATCTCTCTGGGCCTTAATTTCCTCATCTATAAAACGAGGATGATAATTGTACCTCAGATGGTTGCTGCTGACATTGGACTGTGGGTGGGCAGCAGGAGGCCGGCATATCCTGACCTCAGAGTGCAGCAGTGTAGATTAAACATATATTTTTTAAACTAAGAAATAAATGTGGTCAAAATGTAAAGCAAATTAAAACTGAATAATCTCAGGCAGATTGTTTTCTGCCAAGAGTGGAAAAAAAAAAAAAAAAAACTCCACCGAATGAGCCTAGACTTTAAACTTTCTCTTCTTTTATTGCATGGACTGCCCTTTCCAGATCCCCAAGCAGAGACCTCTAGTGCTGATGAGGCCTCCTGGACACTTGGGAGGGCAGAAGAGTCTCCCTTCACACAATCCTTCCAAGTCATTCTTCCAAGACAGCTGGGAAAGTGCCATCAGGATTCCATCAACACACACCTAAAGGCAGCAGGGAAGAGGACAGAGCATTGGAGGTGGGGAGGTGGGGTCAGAGGACCCCGGATCCCTAATCCACTACTCACTCTGTCCCAGGCATGACCCCATGCTGCTGAGTTTCTATATCTGTAAAAGGGGGATGGTATCACATGCTGGGGCTGTGATGAGGCTCAACCTGAGATAATGAACGGGGTAACACTGTGCAAACTGCAGAGGGCTAGAAAATAAATAGAGGGGATAAAAACCATGTCATTATTAGACACCACCTTAGCCTTAATTGCCTGAGAAATGAGGTCAGGGCGAGACAGGGTTCCAGCACACTATGCTTCCTAACTTCAGGAGGGAGCTGCAGATGATGAAAACCATAATCACTCCCTGCATCCACACCTGATTGAAGATGATAATGATAACTGCCCTTTAAAAACCCCCAAGTTTCAAAGGACCTGCCTGATAATTCTCAAAAGGAAAAAAAGCAAATGGCCATTAAAAGTAGAAAAAATGTTCAGTCTATCTAGTAGTTAAAGAAGTACAAACCAACACAAGGCATACTTCTCGGCCTATCAAATTAATAAAAATTAAAAAGCAAATTGGTAGTACCCAATGCTGGCAAGGGTGACACTGGAACTTATAACCACAGCTTGTGGGGGTGTTCACTGGCTCCTGCTGGAAGGTATTTCAGGACAAAGTACCATATACCTTGACTTAGACTCTTTGACTCCATAATTTCACTTTTTTTGGATGTCTATTCTGAGGAGATAATTAGAAAGCCTTATACACGAAGTTGCTCACTGTAGCACTATTTATAGAAAGTTTGAATATCTACATATCCAACAAGTAGGGATTAAAAAAAAATAATTTTAGTACATCCTTGCAAATTTATCTTATTATATTAAAAGAGTTCTTAATGACATGGGTAACCGCATATATTTACTGTTAAACAAAGTAAGTAGAATGTAAAATTATAGATCCAAATTTATCTCAGCCACATAAAGAAAAACATTCAGCACAAAACACTGCAGAGCGATCTTACCAAATACGAACAGTGCTGGCCTCTGGGTGGTTGGATCGTGACTCCTTTGAAAGTTTTTTTCGCCTTTCTGGCACTGTGCAAATTTAGTAAGACAAATATGCACAACTTTGAATAATCACAAAAAAATGGGAATGGAAAGAAGCAATGGCTTAGGACCAACTAAAGGAGAAACTCAGGCCATCATTTCTATTTAACCTTCTCCAATATAGCACTTGTCTGAAACTAAGAGACTAATAAGCTGACTTGAGTATATATCACAACTCAGATACTGGGGTGGGCTCACCTGGAAGTCAAATGGTTTGCAGGCTGAGGGTCCACGCTGCTTTGCTGATATTTTTATGGCTGAGCCAGGTTTTGGGCGAATATTCATTAAAAAAAAAATTTTGAGGAGGTGGTGTCAAGATGGCAGTGTAGGAAGATGCGGAGTTAGCGTCTCCCCACAACTAGGGTGCCTGCCGGCCGCTGGTGGGGGACTCTGACGCCCAAGGAGACGGGAAGAACCCGAGAGTGAACTGGTAGGACGTAGGGGGACTGAGGGGGGAGCAGAAGTGGAGGCCAGACAGGATCAGCGCCCCTGAGGCCGGGGAGATCAGGAGAGGCAGGTGGGAGGGACTCTCCGGAAAGAGCATGAGAGGAGCAGAGGGCAATCGCCTGGCCCACGCTGCCGGGGAGCCTGCTGAGCTCCCAGGTGGGTCCCCTGCCCTCCAAGGCCCCGTCCAGGCCAACAGGTCCTTGGGAGCATAGGAGGGAGGCCAGGGAGATCAGGAGAGGCAGGCGGGAGGGGCCCTCCCAGACCGGAGGAACAGGAGAGGTGGGAGGGAGTTTGCCCCACCCACTCGAGCCCAGGAAGCCTGCTGGGCTCCCAGGTGAGGTCCGCTGCCCTCTGAGACCAGGGGTGGGGGGCACACCTGTGTCCCTTCTGTTCCTTGAGCCTAAGCCCCACCCCCCACAGCCCCCAGGGCCTTTTCTAGCCCTGTGGGTCCTGGGTATTGGCCCCACCCACCACCCAAACCTCGCCCTTGCTTAGGCCCCGCCCTCCACAGCCAAGGCCTCCCACCAACCCGCCCCTTTTATTTTTTGCCACTCCATGTGGCTTGCGGGATCTTGGTTTGCAAGCCTGGGGTCGGGCAGAAGCTCCTGTGGTGGGAGCTCTGAGTCCAAACCACTGGACTAACAGAGAACCTCAGACCCTAGGGAATATTCACCAGAGTGAGGTCTCACAGAGGTCCCCATCTCAGCACCAAGATCCAACTCTACCCAATAGCCTACAAACTCCAGTGCTCGAAGCCTCAGGCCAAACAACCAGTAAAACAGGAATACAATCCCACTCCTGAAGAGAAAAAAAAAAAAGGAGATGGCAAAAAATATGTCACAAATGAAGGAGCAAGGTAAAAACCTACAAGACCAAATAAATGAAGAGGAAATAGGCAATCTACCTGAAAAAGAATTCAGAGTAATGATAGTAAAGATGATCCAGAATCTTGGAAATAGAATGGAAGCACGGATTGAGAAAATACAAGAAATATTTAACAAAGATCTAAAAGAACTAAAGAAAAACAGAGATGAACAACACGATAACTGAAACGAAAAATACACCAGAAGGAATCAATAACAGAATAACTGAGGCAAAAGAACGAATAAGTGAGCTGGAAGACAAAACGCTGGAAATAACTGCCAAGGAGCAGAATAAAGAAGGAAGAATGAAAAGAATTGAAGACAACCTCAGAAACCTCTGGGACAACACTAAATGCACCAACATTCGAATTATATGGGTCCCAGAAGAGAAAAAGAAAGGGTCTGAGAAAATATTTGAACAGATTATAGTTGAAAACTTCCCTAACATGGGAAAGGAAATAGTCACCCAAGTCCAGGAAGCACAGAGAGTCCCATACAGGGTAAACCCTAGGAAAAACACACCAAGACACATATTAATCAAACTAACAAAAATTAAATTCAAAGAAAAAATATTAAAAGCAGCAAGGGAAAAACAAAAAAACATACAAAGCAATCCGCATAAGGTTATCAGCTGATTTTTCAGTGGAAACTCCGCAGGCTAGAAGGGAGTGGCAGCCTATACTTAAAGTGATGAAAGAGAAAAACCTACAACCAAGATTACTCTACCCAGCAAGGATCTCATTCGGATTCGATGGAGAAGTCAAAAGCAGCTCATGCAGCTCAATAACAAAAAAACAAACAACCCAATCCAAAAATGGGCAGAAGACCTAAATAGACATTTCTCCAAAGAAGATATACAGATTGCCAACAAACACGTGAAAGAATGCTCAACATCATTAATTATTAGAGAAATGCAAATCAAAACTACAATGAGATATCATCTCACACTGGTCAGAATGGCCATCATCAAAAAATCTAGAAACAATAAATACTGGAGAGGGTGTGGAGAAAAGGGAACACTCTTGCATTGTTGATGGGAATGTAAATTGATACAGCCACTATGGAGAACAGTATGGAGGTTCCTTAAAAAACTACAAATAGAACTACTATATGACCCAGCAATCCCACTACTGGGCATATACCCTGAGAAAACCGTAATTCAAAGAGTCATGTACCAAAATGTTCATTGCAGCTCTATTTACAATAGCCAGGACATGGAAGCAACCTAAGTGTCCATCAACAGATGAATGGATAAAGAAAATGTGGCACATATATACAATGGAATATTACTCAGCCATAAAAAGAAACGAAATTGAGTTACTTGTAGTGAGGTGGATGGACCTACAGAGTGAAGTAAGTCAGAAAGAGAAAAATACCGTATGCTAACGCATATATATGGAATCTAGAAAAAAAAGAAGATGGTACTGATGAACGTAGTTGCAGGGCAGGAATAAAGAGGTAGACATAGAGAATGGACTTGATGACATGGGGTGGGAGGGTGAAGCTGGGGCAAAGTGAGAGTAGCATCGACATATATACACTACCGAATGTAAAAGAGTTGGCAGGTGGGAAGCAGCAGCATAGCATAGGGAGACTGGCTCGGTGCTTTGTGATGACCTAGAGGAGTGGGATACGGAGGATGGGAGGGAGGCTCAAGAAGGAGGGGATATGGGGACATGTGCATGCATATGGCTGATTCGCTTTGTTGTACAACAGAAACTAACACAGTATTGTGAAGCAATTATACTCTAATAAAGATCTATTAAAAAATTTTTTTTGGCTAAAATGTTCAAACTGTTTTGATTGTGTATGAAATATATTTTATATCACAACCCTGTTACATGTAAATCCATACAACTGAAACAAGCTTTAGCCTTCTTACCTGCAAAGAACATTGATATTTTCTACTCTGTTCTATTTTGCTTGTTAAAATGCTACTCATGAACTACTAAATTCATTCTACAACCCTCCAGCATGCTGTGGACCACAGCTAGAAAGACATGGGGGTGAGGGGACAAGGAAAGCTGGGTATCTCCTCTCCCAAGTGTCCTGAGTTTTCAAATGTGTACAGAGCATTTGAGCCACAATGGATACTCTTTTGGCCAAGGTTCAGTTTCAAAAGAAAGAGGATGAACATTAGGAGAAGTTCCTGCCCTAGAGCAATCAAGAAGGAGACAGGAGTCGGGGTCAGGCGGGTCCAGCCCAGAAGAGCCGAGGCCCCAGGCCCCAGGCGTCCAAAGAGCTATTGAAAGCCACATTCGGCCTGAGAAGTTCTTTGCTCTTTCTAAGAACCAGCACAGACTTGCAACGGTAACCTAGAGTAGGGAAGATACACTTGCTTTTGTGATATTCAACGTCTCCCAATCATACCTTTGCTCTAAGATGCACTTGACACACAGTCCTCATTTCCACAGGACTTTGGCACTACTGACCCTTGAATAATAGGGCCATTCTCCAGCGATTAGTTCAGCTCGGCCCCTTCCCCTTACACCTATCTCCACGTGGGTTTGCCTGACTTTGCAGGGTGGATGCTACCTGTGGGGAGGACATGGGTGGCGTGGCATGTTGGATGCACCTGGATCTTTCAGTTGGGAGATGATCAGCTGGGGCCCCCAAAGAAGACCACAGTATTGGGCTGAATGTTTGTGTCCTGTGTTGAAACCCTAAGCCATCAATGTGATGGTGTTAGGGGGTGGGGCCTTTGGGGGGTGATTAGGATTAGGTGAGCTCATGAGGGTCAGGCTCCCATGACACCATCGGTGCCCCTATAAGAAGAGATAAGAGAGATTTGCTTCTCTCTCTTATAGGTCACATGGGGACACATGAGAAGGTGGCATTGTGCAACTTGGAATAGGACCCTCACCAAACTCAACTACTGGCACCCTGATCTTAGACTTCCAGCCTCCATACTTTGAGAATTAAATTTCCATTTACAAGCCACCTGGTTTAGATATTTTGTTATGCAGCCCAAACTAAGACAACCACCAGCGGCTGCTCCTCTTGATGGGGCCCTGCTTAGTATGGGATACAAGCTGTTACAGAAACAAGGAGAAGGGGGGCAATGAATTTCAGAGAAAACTTAAAGAAAAAAATGTTCTAGCCTGTACAGACTTTGAGACAAATGTCCTCCTTTGGAGTGGGCTTGAGATGTCACATCATCCACTCTGATGATGACAGTTTCCTAAGATGTGCAAACCAACCCAGTCTGTTTTCTTTTTATGATTCCAGACCAAGGAGGCCATAACCACTGAGGGCAGAGGAGAGGTTCCAGAAGCATTTAGCGGTTACCATCTACCAAGCGCCAGGCCAGGCTCCAGGGACACCTAGCTCCTGTCTCCCCATGCCCTCCGAGGTCCTCACTGGCCCTACGTCTAGAATCTTTTCTGTCCTTCTCGACTGGCCTAGGCTTGGCTTTCCTCACCTCATTCCTCCCCTTGGCTCAAACATCTGGCCCTTGGAGGCTAGGGTCCTAACTTCTGAGCCAGAGCCTCCTTACCATCACTCACCTAGTCCCCACCCCGAAGCCTTTGGACACTTGACTGGGTCACCCTCAACCACCCTGAGCGCCTTAATCTGTCCCCTCTGGCCTTCCCTCATACCAGGCATCTTTCTCTCCATGCTCCAGCCACTCCTTTAGTTCTTTAAATGCACCACACATCTTCTCACTGCAGGGCCTTTGCACGTGTGCTGCCCTCTGCCTGGTCTGCACTTTTCTTCTACCCCTTTGCCAGGTGGTTCCTGTCTTCCTTCACATTGCAGCCCCCCTGCCCTTCCTCGGGGACGTCTTCCAGGCCCTTGCCTTACCAGTCCCCACTCTAAGTCAGGAGCTCTCACAACACAATTTGCCTGTCCCGTGCCTGTGGATTATACCGGGGCAGGATAACAGAGAGGCCAGGACACAAACTCTGGGTTCTAATCCTGCCTCTGCCACTTACAGACTGTGTGATCTTAGGCAAGTTCCCTGATCTCTCTGTGCTTCAGTTCCCTCATCTGTAAACTGGAAACAACCTCAGCAGCTTTCGTGAGGGTTACACGAATGACTAGATGTGACGTGCTCAGAGCAATGCTGGGCACTGAGTGATACTCAGTGCTCAACACCCACACAGTGCCTGGGACATGGCAGACAGTTAAAGGGAGATTTCTCATGAATAAATCAATGCTCTGAAGACTTTAGTGCTGGCTTCAGGTGATCCACCAGTGGTAAGCCACCCTGAGGCTTCCGTTCCCTAGGTGAACCCTTCCTAGCAGCCGAGACCTGCCCACCTTCTGCTGCTCATGTCTAAGGGCAGGGCAGAAACGGTGCTGGTCTCCGAGCTGGGGCTCACTGCCCCACTCGGAGCCTCTGCTTCCCTACCTGTAAAGTGAGGCAGCAAGGGTCCCAGGACAGGTGAGCAGTGTTTAGGAACAGGCCACTTGCAGAGGAGAAAGAACACACAGCAAAGACCTGCAGGAAAATGCTTAGGCTTGCAGACACCTGCAATGCCTGAAGCAATGCCGACTACATCACTTTGAAGGACGACCTCACAGCCTACACACAGGCAAAACAGTGACGACCACGATGGCAGAAAAACCAGCCCCCAACCCGGCGAGGCTGCGGGGCTGAAGGAGCTGCTACCGCACAGTGTGATGCTGCAGGAACCAGTGAGGAGGACCCCCTCCCTGCCCCCGACTCTGCTCCTGGGCTGCACGAGGAGAGTGTGAGGGTACCGGCCTCCCGGATTAACTGAGGAAAGGTAAGCACAGTGATCTGTGAATGATAAACTGTTACATGGATATTTACTTGAGATTGTCACTACAGGTCTGTTCAATATTTCTGTGCCTACCTGGCAATATATAGGAAGAACCATAAAATGGTACAATCGCTAACATAACCTTGTATTGTGGAACACAGCCTGAAGAACAAAACAACAGCAGAAAAAGCAAAAAGGCAGAGATGTCCATTCTGGTACTATTTACGATGGTCAAATCCCAGATTTTACCTGTCACTATTGTCCAACAAGTGGGGAGCTGTTAGGCTAAGTGTGAAAGAGCAACACGTATGCAAGTATTTATACGTTATTGCTTGAATAAGAGACCAAAAAAAATCCAGCCCACGTTAGGGAAAAAGACAGAAGGCAAAGGAATGTGAATAGCCCAAGAGCGACTGTACAACTGTCTGCAGAGTGAGTGGTGCCTCACTTCTCTTGTGTTCTGTTTGCTTGTTTGTTTTTTGCATATGTGCCTTTGGGTGGGTGGATGGGTGGGTGGGGGCATTGCTAATCTTTAGCTCTAAAGCTGGTGAAACAGAAGTTGAACATTAGACAAAAATGCAGAATGCCAACAACAACAACAACACTGACTGACAGATCTCTGTGTGCCAGGTGCTCTGCTGAGCATTTTAGTCTCGGCAGCAAGCCCATCACCCCCACCCTACAGACAAGAAAGCGAGGCTCAGAGAAGGGTGTGACTTGCCCAGGGCCACTGTAAGTGGAGGAGCTGGGATTCAAACCCAGGTTGGCCTGACTCCGGGGCCTGTCTTAATCAACTTCCACTGTGCTCTGGAGGGCAAAACCCAGCCCGGTGGGGTGAGATGACCGGAGGGAATGTTTTAGCCAAATCTAAGGAGAAACCACCTTATGGGAAGAGAGATCTCGAAAAGGAACAGGCATACTCAAAGGTAGTGACCCTTCGGTCATGAGAGGTGTATGAGCGGGGCTGTCGTCCACCAGGTGTGGGGGAGAGATGAAATCAGACCATGAAGGTCCCTGGAACACTGGGGCCGAGGATCCTAGTGAAGCTCTCAGCTGTTGGAAACAGGAAAAAAAAAAAAAAGATTGAGAACAATACCTTGCCTGCGTTCAGTTCAGAAATCGCTGCCAAAATCTGCTGCCTGGATCCATCTGTCTTAATACCCAGCTCCTTCAAGTCACCATCGGTGAGCGTGAGGAATGCTTCCATATCCACCTGGGAAGAGAAAGGGGAATTTGCTACTATCTGCTCGGTGCCACACCTCTTTTCCCCAACCACAACAAGACTATCATGATAACAAGCTATTAGTGCTTATTAGTAGTGAATTAATTATGATTTACTACTTCCAATTCCTGGCTTTATGCTGAAAGTTTATTTGAAAACATCATTAAAAACGAACCCTCAGGACTTCCCTGGTGGTGCAGTGGTTAAGAATTCGCCTGCCAATGCAGGGGACACGGGTTCGATCCCTGGTCTGGGAAGATCCCACATGCCGCGGAGCAACTAAGCCCGTGCGCCACAGCTACTGAGCCCGCATGCCTAGAGCTCGTGCTCTGCAACAAAAAAAGCCACCGCAATGAGAAGCCCACGCACCACAACGAAGAGTAGCCCCCGCTCGCCACAACTAGAGAAAGCCCGCGCGCAGCAACGAAGACCCAATGCAACCAAAAATAAATAAAATAACAAACAAACAAACAAACAAAAACAAAACAAAACAAAAAAACGAACTCTCCTCAGCTCTAGGCCTGGGATTTTTAGGAGAGGTGCATTCTGGAAAGACTGAAAACGAAACAAGTAAGGGAAGTCTCTGAGACAGTAATCTGGGTGACTTGAGTGGTAAAAAATCCAAGTCTTGCTACTAGAAAGTTAATTCCAATGTTGCTGCACTTTTAACAGTATCCGATACTGCACAGAAAATACGAGTATATGGCAGTACTCACCATGTTCCCCCCCACCACCAAGGACAAAAGAGATGCAGACTGTGGAAAGACAGAGAAAATAAACAAGCAGAAGCAATAAAGGAAAGAAGGGCCATTGGTTTTTACCAGAAAAAAAAAGGGCATCTCAAAGCTGTTCAATCCTTGGTTTTTACCAGAGAAATTCTAACATTTCTGTCATCCCTGCCTAGTCCTCAGCTCCAGGAGAAATTTCTTCCCTGTCTTGATCTCAAATTTTAATAGTCACTTTACTTTCCCGGATTTAAAAAAAAATCTTGAACCAGGTTTGAGTTGGTGGGGAAGGGTCTGCTCCCTTATCCAACATCAAGCTCTCCCTGAGATGCAGAGAGGGCCCCTCTGATAATGATAAGCTCCCTGAATCCCTCGGGGACTTTACAGATCAGAAGGCACTAACAGGTTCAAGGAAGAGGTGACATGATTTTGATGGAAACCACCTGCCCCCGGCCCTGCTGGATACTCCCCTTCCCCACCATCCCAGACCTGTGGCAGAGACCCCACACCCAGCTCCTCAGAAAGCACGGAACGCATAAAATAAAAGCAGGCAGCCATCAGCAAACAGTAAAGATTTTTTTGACGATGAGAAAAATCGCCACTGAAGTTTAAGACATCAAGGAGGCAGGAAGGACAGGCTGGATAGGGCAGAAAAGCAAACCAAGGAAGAAAGCCACAGCACTCCTTACTGTTTCTTGAACAAAAATACAAACTCCTCAGATTTTGGAATTTATGAATTAGATAAGATTCTAATGACCAAATAATTCTGCCTTCTCAAATAATAGAGAAAATGTTAAATAATATTTAAATCAAACTGACTAGGTTGAGTTCATCTGCCCAGTGAGGAACATTTCTCTTGCCATAATTTAGCTTGAATTATTTTTATAGAGACTGGATTTTCTTCACAACCACAATGCCTTTTTTTTATAATGGCTTTTGGCTTTTATTCGGAGGCAGACCCTTTTAAATTTAAACATGATCTGCTGTATTTACTTTGAATGCCAATATACTGTGTATTACCCCCTCCAAAAAAAACAAACAAAACAAACTCCTCAACTGCGTCTCAAGCTTGCTGGAGACAATGAATGACTCTCGTAACTATGACAGTTGTCATGTACTAAACTGGGCACCAGAATCTTCTAAGCCAGTGATTACACCCTGGTGGCTAATGGGCCCACTGAGGAGTTTTATTTGGCCAACAGTAAAAATTTTAACATCTTACTGAGACGTAATTCACCTACCATACAATTCACCCATTTAAAGTGTGCAATTCAAAGATTTTTAGTACAGAGTTATGCAACCGTCACCACACTTAATTTTAGAACATTTTCATCACCCCAAAAAGAAAACCCATACTCATTAGCAATCACTCCCATTCTATCCTCCCCACATTCCCTGGCAACCACTAATCTACTGTCTGTCTCTATAGATTTGCCTATTCTGGACACTGTATATAAATGGAGTCATACCATATGTGGCCTTTTGTGACTAACTTCTTTCACTTAGCACAGTGTTTTCAAGGCTCATCCATGTTGTAGTGTGTATCAGCATTTCCTTCTTTTTCATGGCCTAGCTACATTCCATGGTATAGAGATAACACATCTTATTTATTCATTCATCAACTGAGGGGCAACTGGGTCGTTTCCACTTTTTGGCTACTATGAATAGTGCTGCTATGAACACTCTGTGTGAACACATGCTTTCAGTTATCTTGGGTATATACCTGGGAGAGGGATTTCTGGGTCATAAGGTAACTCTGCTAAACATTTTGAGAAACTGCCAAACTGCAGAACAGTAATTTTTAAAAATGTGATTGTGAGTGCTTTAAAGCAAATAGGAACTCTCTTAGACTAACACAGACTATTTACATCCAGATACTGAACACAGATTCATTAGGATTTGCTTTTTTACCTGCTTTAAACCTAAGAACCTGCCAGGCAATCCTCTTCAACTAAAAGGACAGAAACAAACTTTACTAGAGAGAGCAGAGGTCAAAATTATAAAATTCTATTATAATAAAACAAGTCATAAGGTCCCCAGGATTTCACTGTTATGAACTGAACCAAATGTGCTGAACAAGAATTCTATTTCCTCAGCTATCTCAGTGAAAAAGATCAATCTAGGCTTATAGGATGACAACCTACATATTTAGACAACTGTTTTATGGTAAGATATAAACTGACATTCAAAAAGAACATCCTGGGCTTCCCTGGTGGCGCAGTGGTTGAGAGTCCGCCTGCCGATGTAGGGGACACGGGTTCGTGCCCCGGTCCTGGAAGATCCCACATGCCGCGGAGCGGCTGGGCCCGTGAGCCATGGCTGCTGGACCTGCGCGTCCGGAGCCTGTGCTCCGCAACGGGAGAGGCCACAACAGTGAGAGGCCCGTGTACTGCAAAAAAAAAACAAAACAAAACAAAACAAAAAAGAACATCCTTACCTCTTGCTCCTCAAAAATGGGCTGATATTTCTCAAGTGATAATTTCTTAAGGATGCCAGTCAGTTCATCTTCAAGAGGGAAAGAATGTAAAATAAGATATTTTAGCATTTGGTAAAATGTATCAAGAGTGATCTTCAAACTTTCATAAAACAGTGGTAATCTTATTTCGAAATTCTACCAGAAACCCCAACACAGAAAGCAGATCTAAGCTGTGTTCCTGGGGATGAAGCTGAAGGTGGGTCCCAGGCCACCTGTTGACCATACTCTTCCCTTAGGGCAGGCTCTCAGCATTTGTCAAAACCCCAGATTGGGCTATGAAGACAGAAGATGGGGGGGGCAGTTCATGGCCAGGCTCCAATGGCTGACTCTCCAATGGCGGGACCATCAAGTTCTTGGAGTTCTAGCTGCTGGGACTAAAACCCTCCCGTCTGTCCCAGAACAATTTTTAATTATGATTTCTTGACTGTTGTTAGCTACAGCTGCAGTAAACACTAATGCCAGCAGTCCTCAGCTAGACAGAGAAAGAACTGGAGAGAACAGGTAGGTGGGCTTCAGACCAGAGTCAAGGTTTGCCTCAAGCGTTTGGAGGCTGTGGGCTTCCTGAAGGAAGGGCGTGTCTGAATGGAACAGCAGAGCCAGATGGGCACAGACTAGGGGAAAACAGAAGATTTTGAGTATCAAGTTATCAGAGCAGGGAAGATAAAGAAGGAGACAAAAGAAGCATCTGTGGGGGCTTTAAGAAACATTCCTTCACACATTCGATAAGGATTTATCAGACTAGGCACTGAGGGCTCAATAGGGACCAAAGCAGACCATAAGCAGGCTGTCAGGCTCAAGGCAATGAGGAAGAACAGAGCAGGGTGGGGGAGGTTGACAGGGGATGTGAGAATGTTGTTTTATAGAGGGTGGTCAGGGAAGGCATCTCAGAAGGAGATATTTGAACAGTAAATGAAGGAGTGAGCTGTGCAGATATCAAGGCAAAGAGCACCAGGCAGCATCCAGGCAGTGAGAACAGCCAAGTGCAAAGGTCCTGGGGCAGCAAGGGCAGCTTACAGAAGAGTGGACTGGAGGTTAGGAGGTCAGAGGTCCTTTTATTCACTCATTCATCATTCAACAGTGGCTACTACTGTGCCTACTACGTGCTGGGAATGCAAGGATGGAAACGTCCATGCTGTGAAGGAACTCAGTGTAGCTGGGAAGATATAATGAAGAGGATGACAGCTGATGCACAGTGCTCACTGTCAGGCACCCTGTATGGAGGATGCATCTCCTCTTAACAACCCCATGAGGTAGACCCTCTTACTGTCCCCACTTACAGATGAGGAAGGCACAGAAAGCTGGGTACCATATCTCGGGTGAGGTCACACCACTAGTCCATGGCACAGCAAGGATTCAAACACAGTGGTTTAGCTACCAGGCTTCTGCTACACACACTGCTCTGCCACTTCTCCCACTGGTGATGAGTATATGGTGAAGGGCATGAATAAGGGGATCTGGGGACAGAGAGGACAGCTGACCAGCCCAAGGGACCGGATAGGCTTCACAGAAGAGGTGCTAATGAACTAGGATGTATGAGATGAAACGAGTCCCAATCCATACATAATCTATTATAGGTTCATGACACCTATCATGCTTTGCTGCTGTCATTCCCTCCACGAGTTTCTCTCTACATCTGTGTGCTGGTAAATGTTTAACAACTGGATTTCTGGGAGGGGGAATGTACACACGTATATAAGTACATGATTTTACTGATTTAAGGATGTGTGTGCACAATTTACATATAATAATAAATTACACAATGCTCTGTATTATAAATTCCATATAGCCAATGCCTTCACTGCATTTCAGGCGTCTCGCTGAATGCCTTCATTGATTTTTGCCTTACTCTTGAAGACATAGCCAATGAGTGTAGCTCCTACATGAAGGCTCACTAATGCTTCCGTTTACGTGAACATGTGAGATGAAATGAAATAATGAAGACATACGTTGGAACTTCATGTGAGCAACTTTGCTGAATCAGATAATGCTTTTCAAAACCTTGAAGAATATTTTCTCAATTTTTAATGTTATTTTCAATATAACAGGTTAAACAGTTAAAGTTTAACCTGTATAATTAACATGGTCTCTGTCACTGTCTAGATGACATCCAGATGCTCTTTAAAACATTAAGTCAAGCCCTAGTGGGTATTTGCTGATTTCCATGGTGTAAATGCCCCCAGTGTGGTCAATTTCAACCTACCAACATCATGTTCCTGGAAGTGGAATTGGGAAAGATGCACAGCAGTAACACATCAATACACAGTATTCCCACCACGTAGATAAAAGAGACATAAAGAACCTTAAGAGAACAGGTATTAGTAAAACGCACTAAAAATTAGTAAATAATATATTTTGTTTTAAATGCCACATACCTTTACATGTAACATAATCAGCTTAATTATAAGTTCATGCAGTTTGACTTTTTTTTTGTCTTCTTTTTTTTAAGCATTTTTATTTTTATTTTTTACAACTTTTTGGCCGCACAATATAGTATGTGGGATTTAATTCCCCAACCAGGGATCGAATCCACACCCCCTGCATTGGAAGCATGGAGTCTTAACCACTGGACCACTGGGGAAGTCCCTGTCTTTTTTTAACACATATTTTTGTTGTTGTAATTTGACTTTAAACAGCTGTGTTTAATTGCCAGCTCAACTGTTTCCTACAAATGTAACAATAGGCTCTGGGCCACCATTCCCGGCTCCCGGCTCCCAGCCCCCGACTCTTCTCAGTCCTCCTGGCCCAGCTCGAGGGCCACTCTTCAGTGAAGCCTGCCATGGTGCTTCGTGCCTTGCTGATAACACACGTTTGATCCCACCTTGCGTTACAATCATTTAATGTTATTATGTGGAATGTATCTGAATTCCCCAGCCTGTTGATGAGTTATGCTGACACTGGCACAGGTTACAGCACCCAGGGCCTGCCCCAGTCACCTTCATAGAAGGAATGTGAGGCTGAGAAGGCCACGTTGTCACCGCCCCACCACTTCCTCCAGGAGGAATGAACAGACGGACACAGGAGGGAGGATGAGCAGGGCAAAGGCTTGCATGCAGTCCTTGACTGAGGCTACAGATTTCCCACAAAAATATCATAAAGAATGGCTATTTGGGGATAGACTGCAGGCTCTGGTCTGTGATAATCTAATGCCTGAAGGACAAGGGTCTGGCTGCCTCGGGACCCAGGAACCCCAGGAGGGAAAACTAGGCCTTGTAAGCCAGAGAAGGTAATCTAAAAAGAATTTGCTGTCAGGTCCTCCTGTTTTTATCCCAACTAGGCTTTGCAAACCTTTTTTTAATAATGAATGAGAGGGGAGCAAAGTGGGCATAGACAGTGCATTCTGATGACTGTCTCAACTCTTTTTTGGAAAAAGGTGGCGTACAAATCCCAAACTGAACCTGTAGGAGTTTAGATTCCTGAAAGCTTCTGAGGCGGGAGAGTTCATGGGTAGGGAAATTAAGACTCCACACAGAAAACACAGTTAGGGGGAATTCCTTGGTGGTCCAGTGGTTAGGACTCCACGCTCTCACTGCCAAGGGCCTAGGTTCAATCCCTGGTTGGGGAACTAAGACCCCACAAGCCACATGGTGTGGCCAAAAAAAAAAAAAAGAAAAGAAAAAAATATTATATAAAAAAGAGAAAACATTTAGGGAGGAATGGGGTTGCTAGTGAATCTCTGAAGCTTTTATAAACGATTGCACTAGATATCACAAAACAATAAAAGCAGCCCCCAAAAAAGTGGATGCCAATGGCAGTGTACATTTATCAACTCAGTACAGACCATAGCCTGTGCAGTTGATTTCAACTTATCACTTGCTGGGCAGAACCTGCTCTGCACTCCCTCCCAGTAGCTGCAGCAAGATGCCTGCAAATGCACTTGTGAGGACCACACACACAATGAGAGTTTCCTCCCCTCTCTGATTTATACTCCTTGATTTTCACCTGCCTGGGACCCATCTCTCACCAAAGCCCTGCTCCCTCCTCCCCCATCCCTGCTCCCAGGAGCCACCAGAGGGCAGTTGTAAAGGATGAGCTTCGTCTCTCCTTTATCTTTTATATCTTCACATCTTTATCTGGGGCCTCACTGCACAGCCTCCACTCCTGCCCGGCCGCCCGGTCCACCTTCCTTTCCTCATCATCCCCACTCATGCAACTTCCAACGTTCTCCTGGTTACACCTCCTGCTTTTGCTTGCCCTCCATCCACTTCCATTCTCCTCTGAGGAGCTACTTCTCTCCCTCTCCCAATCCACACAGACCTGACCCCAACCCTGGCTCCAAAGGCAGACACACTCCACCCTTGGGGACACAGAGATAGTCAAGGATGGGCAAACAACCCAAGTTGTTACAAATATAGCCAAGACAGGACAATGACCTTTACCCCTGGGATTTTGCTGTACCTACTAAGGAAGTAGCACTCTTTCTGCTGGAGTTGCTAAGTTAGTAGGAAGAAGAAGTAAGCATGAAGCTGCTGGGTGTATCCTTGCCACTACTTGAAGAGACCTTACCTGAGACACGGAGAGAAACACTCCCTAAGCACCTGGATCCAGACACACCTGAAGAACATCCTAGATATTTCCATTATATGAGCCAACAAATTATCAGTTTTTGGTATTGTTTTTGCTTAAATCAGTTTGACTGGAGATTCCATCCCTTGCAACTGACAGAATTCTGATCTGTACAAGGTTCAGGGAAAGGTACATAACTGGGGCTGGAGAAGCAGTTCTACGGGTGTTTGTTTGTATATATAAACAAAACTGGCCTACATTCAAAACCTACTAGACACCTTTCAGGTATGTAAGCTCAGTGAAGACAAAAATACAAGGTAGAATCAGGGAAGGGGAAAGACAGGCGTTTTTGTTTGACTGAAAAAATGATGAAACACCTGACCTAGGATGGCTATAGCAAAGAAGGGCAGCTGCTAGGTTACCATGGTGAAGAGGAAAGGGTGGGCTTTCAGGACCTGGGGGACTCACCCTCATCAGTGATGGTGCCGCTGCTGGAGCCCCCGCTGCTCTTGGACTGCCGGTGGGATGAGGAGGAGGACACGGAGGACTCGGCTGCCTGCGCTTTGGGAGAAGGTGAAGGCGTGAGCGTGGGGGAGGTGCTTTTGGAGGTAGTGGAAGTTCCAGATGGAGGCCTTTTGCTCGTCTCCAGTTTCTGCTGAAAAGAATAAGACAAATACAATTTTTTTTTTTTTTTTATGGTACGCGGGCCTCTCACTGTTGTGGCCTCTCCCGTTGCGGAGCACAGGCTCCGGACGCGCAGGCTCAGCGGCCATGGCTCACGGGCCCAGCCGCTCCGTGGCATGTGGGATCTTCCAGGACCGGGGCACGAACCCGTGTCCCCTGCATCGGCAGACGGACTTTCAACCACTGCGCCACCAGGAAAGCCCGACAAATACAATTTTGAGCCCAAATCAATTGAGTCCTTTGCCCACTGGGAGGGAAAACAACTCTTTCATACCAGGACTGGTGAGATTTGGGGTTTCTGCATTTACTCTTGACATGTGACTGAAATTTTAGAATCCAAGCTATAAGTCCTCTTTATCGGTCTCTGTATGTCTGTGTGTCTGTAGATTAGAAAGGCCTTTATCCTTCATTGTGTAAATGTGTAATATTTTCTTATTTCCAGAGGGTATTAATAAATTTGATTATAAAGTCAAAAAAAATAAAAAAGAATAAGACAAATACATAAGCCATCACCTGGAGGGTAGACATGATTCAAACAGACACCCATAACAGGGAACACATGGGATATTTGACTCAACAAGATATCTAACCAGGACTATGACATCTACTTAAGGAAACACGCAAAGCAGAAACAGTATTATCAAAACAGTTACAGGAAAATCCTCCCCCGGAGCAGAGAGGCAGGGAATGGGATGGAAAAAGTGGTACATAAGGAGCCAGAAAACCCGGGTCCTAGTCCTGTCCCTACAGCTGCAATATTGTGTCCTTGGCTGAGTCCCCTAACCTCTCAGTTAACCAGCTCTAAAATGGAAGCGTGGCTTATTACCAACGAAGGCCCATTCTGCTCTTCACGTTTCTTCATTTAAACCAGTCACTTCTAACCTTTCACCACAGAACACTTATTATTTTTCCTTTGTGTATGTGTTGCACACAAAAAGCCCTTCTTATTTTGAAATACTTTATTTTATTGAAGTACAGCTGATCTACAATGTTGTGCTAGTTTTGGGTGTACAACATAGTGATTTGGGTAGGGTTTTTTTGCAGTTTACATTCCATTATAGGTTATTACAAGATATTGGGTATAATTCCTGGGACTATACAGTAAATCCTTGTTGCTTATCTATTTTATGTATAGTAGTTTGTATCTGTTAATCCCATACTCCTAGTTTGTCCCTCCCTGCCCCCCTTTGGTAATCGTAAATTTGTTTTCTATGTTTGTGAGTACTCTTAGACTTACAATTATGGAAACTAAGAAATTAACGCTGGGACAGTATCAGCTAAACTACAGACGGTACTCAAATATCACTGGTTGTTACACTGATTCTTATCCTGGTTCAGGATCCATGCTGCATTGACTTGTTAGGTCTCCTTAGTCTCCTCCAATCTGTGAAAACTCCTTGGTCTTGCCTTGTCTTTCATGACCTCGACACTTTTGAAGAGTCCTGGTCAGGTATTTGTAGACAGTCCCTCAATTTGGGTGTGTCTTATTTTTTCATAATTAGATTTACTTATGGATTTTGAGGTTGATGACCACTGAGGTGATGTGCCATTCTCAGTGCATCACACCAGGAGATACGAAGTATCAGTACCTTATCACTGATGCTAGCCTTGATGACTTAGTTAACGTGTTGTCTGTCAGGTTTCTCCATTGTGAAGTTACTATTTTTCCCTTTATAACCAGTAAATATTTGGGGAGACATTTTGAGCTAAATATTTTGTTTTTTCTTAAAAGTTTTGCCTGCTAATTTTAACATTCTTTGGTGCATCTTCTCTGGAGCAATTACTACTGTGATGTTCTAATGGTGTTTTGCTATTTCCCTTATTCCTTCCACATTTATTACTTGGAATTCTTCTGTACAGAAGACTTGTTCCTTCTCCCCCGATTTATTTATTCAGTTATTTATTCATATCAGCATGGGCTTGTGGATATTTATTCTCTGGGTTATAATCCAATACTACTGTTATGCCCTGGTCCCTTTTATTGGAGGGTGCTATTTAGAAACCCAAATCTGGATAGTAGGTTGCTCATGGCTACTGGGATATCACTGCTTCTAGGTCCTCTCAGTGAACAGAGCAAGGAAATATATGAAGTCTACTAACCCATGCATACACACATAGCTCTACAATAAGTATATTCCTATGTCTATCAATCTGTGTATATATGTATATTTATGCATACATTCATACTGATTCATACTGATACCTCTGACTCTAATCCAATACTCACAGGATTAGTCCTAGCATTTCCCCTTTGACTCAATCTCTGACAGTTAAAAACTGGGCTCATTATCTATAATATATTTACTTATGTGTTCAACCCTAGTATATATATATATATAAAGTGTATATGTACACAAAAGGTATATATATGTAAAGTAGCTTCACAACTGCTAGACCATAACGCCTGCAAGAAAATAAAAAAACCTCAGATGAATTGGGAGATTGGGATTGACATATATACACTACTATGTATAAAATAGAGAACTAATGAGAACCTGCTGTATAGCACAGGGAACTCCACTTCACTTTGCTGTACAGTAGAAACTAACACAACATCGTAAAACAACTATACCCCAATTAAAGAAAAAAATCAACTAGAGTACAATGCTTTTGTACAGTTCTTTTTGTCTTTACTTTACTCTTACAACATCCATTTACATGTTTTCTCCTACCTCCTACAGTGCAGTTATGTCATTCACGTGTAATACAACTAGATCTGTTGTCATAGTCTGCGTACATCCTTAGGTCCTGGTTGATTTTTTTTTTAATTTGCATACAGTAAAAATAACTGTTGTGTACAATTCTACAGGAACTGATAAATACGTAGAGTTGTGTATCCACCAACAGAGTACCATATGGAACAGTTCCATCATCCCCCATATTCCCTTGTGCTGTCTCTTTCTAGTCAACCCCTCCTCCCATCCCAACCCATGGAAATAACTGATCTGTTTTCCATCCTTATAGTTTTGCCTTTTGTATACTGTCATATAAATGGAATCAAACGATATGTACACTTTTTTGTCTGATGCAGTGTGATGCCTCTAAGATTCATTTAAGTTACTGCATGTGTCAGCAGTGTGTTCTTTTCCATTGCTGAGTAGTATTCCATTGCATGGATGTTACCACAGTTAGTTTACACGTTCACCTGTTATGAGATGTTTCTAGTTTGGGGTATTTATGAAAAAACTGCTGTAAACATTCGCAAACTGATTTTTGTATAAACAGAAGTTTAAAAAAATTCATTTGGGTAAATATCTAGGAGTGAGAGAGCCAGGTCACATGCTGTATGTATGTTTAATTTTATAAGAAACTGACAAACTTTTTCAAGGCGGCTGTATCATTTTTGCATTCCCACCAGCAATGAATGGGAATTCCAGTAGCTCCACATTCTCAGAGCACTTGTAACTTAATTTTTTTTAAAATTTTAGGCAGTCTAATAATAGGTGTAGAGTGCTGTCTCATTGTGGTTTTAAGTAGCATTCCCTAAATAATGATGTTGAACATCTTTTCATACGTTTACGTGCCATCTGCATATTTTCTTTCATGATACTTTTCAGATACTTTGCCCATTTTAAAATTTATTGGTTGTTTTCTCATTGTTGAGTTTTGAGAGTTCTTTATTCTGGATACAAGACCTTTATCAGATACATGATTCACAAATATTTTGTCTAGTCTGTGGCTTGTCTTTTCATTCTCTTAATGCTGTCTCCTATAGACAAAAGATATGAATTCTCATAAAGTTGAATTTATCATTTTTTTCTTTTATGGATCATGCTTTTGGTACTATATCTTAAACTTCCTTGCCAAATCCAAAGTCACACAGACTTTCCCCTAGAAATTTTATAGTTTTTCATTTTGTATTTCAGTCTATGATCCATTTTGAGTTAATCTTTGAATTAGCTGTGAGAAATATGTGAAAGCTCATTTTCTTGCATATTTAATTGTTCCAGCACTATTTGTTGAAAAGACTACCCTTTCTTTGTTGAATTGCCTTTGCACCTTTGTAAAAAAAAAAAAATTCAGTTGACTATTCTTTGGCCTCTCTATTCTGTTCCATTGACCTATGTGTCTGTCCTTCCCTAATACCATACTGTAGTTTTATAGTAAGTCTTGAAACTACGTACTATGATTCTCTTTTTCATAATTCTTTTGCCTATTATAGTTTATTTGCATCTAAATATAAATTTAAGAATCACTTTCTAGATCTCTACAAAAAGAGCTGGCTGGGATTTTAATTGGGATTACATTGAATCTATAGATCAAATTACAAAAAAATTGGTATCTATTTATTTAAGCTTATTTGATTTATCAGTGTCTTGTGGTTTTCAACTTATAGATTCTGCGTATACTTTATTAGATTTATACTTAAGTATTTCATTCTCATAATACATTTTCATATAATACATTTCAAATGTATTGTAAATGATATTTTAAGTTTCATATTTTAAAAGTCTAACTGTTCTAATTCTAATTGTTCATTGCTAATGTGTAAAAATACAGTTGGGACTTTTGTATATTGACCTCGTATCCTGAGACCCTGCTG